CAGCAAGGCCAGATTATGTGCAGCAGCTTCCCGAACGACAGTTGCAGAATCTTCCACGAGTTGTTGCACAATAGACAAAATGAGAGAATCACGGATCTCAGGCCGGACAAATTCTGCAAGCTCACCGCATGATTGAGCAACGAGCAGCCTACGCTCCTCGTACATGTGATTTATCTGCATTCCCAAAAACCAGTTGAATAATGATCATGTCCCTAAAGAAGAAAATTGTAATGTAATTGAGAAAATAAGAAGTGCCCTGACAAAACAAGCCAGTAACTCACTTGTTCCCAGCACTGGGGAAGCAACTCTGTTTCTGTTCTCATCTCCCCTACATTCTTAGCAAGGGTAACACATGCCTGACATAAATTCACAACATCCACCACAATCATGTTCAAACTTCTAGACAGCAAACGATATTACAAAATGCTTATAAAATTGACCTACATCCATTATAATTCTTCTCTGCTGTTCATCAGGACGTTTAATCAAATTGAAGAGCGTGTGGGTCAATGAATCTCGCATGCTGCCATCTGGATGGCGCTCAATTGCACACATTATCAGGGGAAGGAGCTCCTATGATAAATAAAACCAAATTAGTTAAATCTTAATAACAACCTTAAAAGAGAGAGGGGAAAAAAAATTGTAGAAGAAGAAGAAGAAAGAAAGAAACATACATCTCTAAGTAACTCAAAGTCAGAAAGTTCACCTCACGATGATTGATCAAAACATAAGGAACAATCTTTGGCAAGGCATCTGCAAGGATCTGGATGGTCCCTAAACCCTGTTAAAGTGAAAGTATGCCAGACATCATGCATGTCAAGGCACATCACTAGAATAATAGAAGCAGAGGAAAAGAAGAGAACAAAGCATAATTGGCAGGAGATGAAACTTTCAAGTATAAGGAATTATATCATTCCAACAGAAGGCCCATAAATGACAGTAAATGACCACAAAATTCTCATGCCTTTTTATAGCAAGGGCCACTTTGCAAAAATACACCACATGCCCTTGCGTCCACACTTTGGGCTTGTTTGGTTCCAGAGGAGGGGAGGGGAAGGGTAGGTCATTAGCCCAACAATCTAATTTGATTGGTTGAAATAATCTTCCCTCCCCTCCCGTCCCCTGAAACCAAACAAACTCTTTTAGTTAAGGACGGAATGTGCTAAAACAAGATTGCAGCACTTACCCTTTTCTCAGGAGCAGCCACAACACTCCTGTTTTCTGATTTTAAATGCAACCCACTTTCGTCTGATTTTGGTTCCTCATCCCGTTTAGAAATATTTTCAACATTTGATAAAACATCGCTAACATGCAAAGAACTGTTCAATAATTGTTGTGATATTTCGTGCGGTTTGTCAAAGTTGTCTCCAGAGGTTTGTTTAAACAGTGATTGAGCATCTTTATTGTCTGCAACTCCTGCCAAGTCAACAGGATGAGAGATCACAGTTTTATCTCCATCCACCTCAACAACTTTCTCCTCAGTCTGTACTATTGAATCCTTCTCAGAATGGATGGAACCCACAGAAGGAGGAGCATCTTTGTTGTTGGCCTTTAATATTTCAATTTCCATCTGCAAAGACTTTATTTCTTCCCTGTAACTTTCCAAGTCCTGGGATTGAACAGATTCAACATCAGTATTTACCAAATTTCGTCCAGAAAGAGACCCCTCAATGTGCATTTTTAGTGAAGTGATTTCAGCTCTGCAACCATTAAGCTCCTTTCTTTGGAACTCTAGGGCCTGCTTCAAATCTTGAACCTGTCAAAGTGTGAATAGGTATATTCATTTATACATGTTCAGAAGCTGCTTGAAATGAATCATTTTAGTATGAAAAATAGCAGTACCATGAGTTCCTTAGCTTCTACCGCTTTGGTTAAAGCACTTATTTGACCATCAGCCAAATCTTTGCTTTTCAGCATGCTCTGCCTCTCATGTTGTAGACTTTCATTTGCTTTTCGTAATAACTCATTTTCTTGAAGCATAGCAATTTTCTCCTGTAATATAAGGATCATTTTGCATTTCAACTGTAAAATTCAAAACAGGCAGAAAAGGTCTATTCAACTATAAAGCAGGTAAGGTGAATTACTGATCCTTGAAGATTCAATCACAGGAAACATTCAGCCCAAAATATTAATTATTAAAAGAAGGGAAAAAGGAAAAAAAAGCTCTAAAACCCAATTGAGGTAGTCAACAAATATGTATGCAACCTAACAGATATGCTTTTGGGCCTAAGGATAAGGTATTCCACACATCTACAAACAGTAAGCATCTATTGCCTACGTCAAATACAAGTCCAAAAGTAAAGAACAATATTTTTAGAAACAACTTTTTCACTTCTAACTAACAAACAATATGAATCATAAATTTTATCCATATGAGTCTTAACCAATATGCTTAATTAACAGTTTATCATTAGCATGGCATTAAAAGTTAATGTAGGATAACTAGCTCTATCTATTGTTCTCTTTTTTCTTTTTTTTTTTTTGGTTGGCCTTAGCTCTTTCTATTGTTCAAATTGGGATTTTTGCACTCTCCTAGGGTTTGACTAAATAAATACATAAAATCACAGCCTTCAAAGTTCAAGGATGAAAGTTTCAATCCAAGCTTAGTCAAGCATGGCAAAAAAACAGCCACAATTGAAAATTAAAAACTTTCAGCGGATTTCTTTGTGAAGATCTAAAGGGCACTTTGCTTACCTCAGCAGCCTCTGTGGTTGATGAAAGGTACTGATAATAATAATGGCGCAAAGCATCAGGTACGCAAGCAGGTGAGCTTTGCCAAACATCTAAATTCTGGTCCGTAACCTGGTGTGAAACCATAGATCAGCCAAAAAAGTGCTTGCAAATCAGCTACAGAAAAATGTATATTGAGTCACTTGGCCAGGTTTTCATTCCCCAAACCAATCCATCTTTAGCCAACCAAAACATAGGATTTTATAGAGCAAGAGATATGTATTTCTTGCAATTTCTCAAATCATTAATGAAATATAATCTCTCTCTCTCCCTTTTTTTTTTTTTTTTTTTTTAGGATTCAAGAGTTGTATAAACCTCTTCATAGAATGTCATTGCTGTAAGTCGGTAACCAGCTATAAGCAAGTAGTCCTTTACTGCACAGTTAAGATCTCTACGTTCATTAGGTTTCAAAGGGCCCAGATCCGAGAAGGGGGCATCCCTCTTCTGTCTTTGGATTTCTGGTCCAAGATTTGCAGATATACCTGAATCTGATCCTGCAAATACACCCAGTTTGCAAACTCACAAATCACAGAAGCGTGGGGGCTGCCTAATGAAGCTAAAAACTGAAGCTCACTATTGAATCTATTGGAAACAATTTAGGTAGCTTCTCAGTTTAATGAAATGTTACCAACTTCCACAATTACCCATGGAATTTTTCATAATCTTACCATTCAAAACTCTTTTAAAAGCTCTACCCAAACAGCACTTTTTACCAAAGCCTTAAGTGAAACGGACTATGTATCTTATACAATCATACAAATGAGTAAAAATTGACTGCATAATTTCAGATATCAAGTAGATAGAAATAGCGTACCGCTTAATTTATCCAAAGGGAGATCTGCTTTCCTCTGTAATTCAGCCTTGAGTTTCACAATGTCTTCTTGAGCTAAACGAAGCTCATACTCACTAATTGCCAATTTCTCTTCCGCTGCTTCTTTCTCTTCTAGTAAGTTCTGAGGGTCTACAACTGTGAAAATGTTTTCCGCATCAGAAACCACTAGAAACAGCTCAAACTACTCCAAATCATCGTTCAATTCACATTCTCTGAACCCAAACAACAAGAGAACACTAAAACCAGCATTGGGAACCTCGTTTACTCCCTCACAACACATGTTTTCATGAGCAACAAAATACTTCCACATGAATCCAAAGACAAAGTGGAATCAGAGATGCACAGAGAAGGTACCTTGAAGAGAATTGAAGCGAGAGATCTGATCGAGAGGGAAGTGGGAGGGATCGGAGAAGAATTCCTTGAGGCGAATGGCCTGGGCGTCGCGGCCATCATCAAGGAGCTCGTGCAGCAGCTCGAATGCCGTCAGGAGGTAGTTCTCCTCCAGCAGGAAATTAACGACGCAATTGCAGAGAGACGATCTCTCCACATCCATCTTTTTTTTCTTTTTTTCCTCTTCAAATCAACATTTCACGCTTTCTTTCTTCCCTGGATCTGCACCTTGAAATTGAACCAGAAGGGACATTCATCTACTTTGACTAGGATGGTAGTATGGGGAATCGACGGTTGTGATCATCGTGTTCGGACTGGAGTAGGATGAGTGGAATTTAACACGTGCGCTCTGCAATCTGCATAGAAGTTTGGGACTTTGGGCAACGAAGTCAACCGTGACTTTCCCTTATGAAATTATTAAATTATAATACTATGTAATTTATAAATATATAATATAATAATATTTTTATTTAAAATTTTATTTATAATATTATATAGGTTAAATCTGTAATTTGGTTCCTAAATTAAAAAAATTCCTGATTTGATTCTTAAAGTATTGTACAGATCCGATTTGGTCCCTATTGTTTACCAATTTACCCCATGTTGGTCTTTCCGTACAAAAACTAATTGACGTGTTTTTTTTATTAACGTAACATGTAACCGTTAAGTTACTTTTTTTTTGTCATTAAATTACTATTTTTTATCGTTAAGTAACGTGACATGTCAGTTTTTTTTTTGTACAAAAAGATCAATTTGAGGTAAATTAATAAACAGTAAGACCAAATTGGGGATTCATACAATAGTTCATTGGCCAAATCAAAAAATTTTTAAGTATAGAGACCAAATTAAGGTCCATACAATAATTTAAGGACCAAATTAAAAATTTAACTTATTATATATATTTATTTAATATCATATTAGGTTTAATTTAATATCAGATATTATTATAAATTTAATTTTATATAATATTATACTATAATATTACTGTTCACTTAATTATCCACTTCCTTTGGCTCTACATGTTCCCAAGAACAGGTCACTCCCTAACTTTTATTTTTTTATTAATTTTATTCCAATTTTCTAATAAACAATTAATTTTATCACTTCTATTACACAAGTTAAGTTTGGCAATATTAATTTATAATTATCGTGATAAATTTTTTAGGTATTTTGTATCTGAAAAATATATAAAATATACTTAATATATTAAATATATTCTATATTAATTAATATTTTATATATTTTAAAATAAAAAAAATTAAAACTAAAATACTAAGAAAAATAATCAAACGAAGCGGTTGAAAGTTGAACCAACAGAACCTTTGGTTTAATGGTAAGAGACCGCCCTGAAATTTTGATATTCGAGCTTTGAGTTATGGACTTCACCTCCTAAAGTGCAATCCATAGTAATGACTTATTGCTTTAAGAACATTCAAAACTTAAGGCCATTGGTATGCTCAAAAATTCATGAAAATGCTTGGTAACTTTAGTTCGGAGAAAGATTGTTTTGTTTGGTGTTTTTTTTTTTTTTTTTTGGAAACTTTACCTAAAAACTTTGCTTTTGAGGAGAAAGAATCAAGTCTGAGATTAGATTCTTCTTGTTTATTAAAAACACAGGAAGAAAACTTTCATTATTGTGAATTTTTCTTACTAGTGGATGCTTCACCTTCACATTCATCTTTTCATGTTGCAACTCCTCACAATTAAGGGTTCATTCCTCACCATTAAAGGGTCATTTTTGACCACCTACTAAAGGCCATTCAAAGGGCCATTCAATAGGCCATTCAAAGGGGCCATTAAGGTGCCATTCAAGAGTCCATTAAGGTGCTATTTAAGAGTCCATTAAGGTGCCATTCATACTCTCATTTAGTCCTATTCAATGGCAAATGTAACCCCTTATGTCCCTTAGCCTATATATATAGGCCTACAAATTTGTATGTGGGGAGATGGAAGAATACTTGATGAAATAAGAAACTCTCTCCTTTCATTTGTCATCTTGCCATTTTTCTTCTTATTTTATAATACGTTATCAGCACGATCGTCTCCACCATTCAATTTGTGGCAAGCTCTTAAGGTAATCATTTGTTTTCCTAATTTAAATTTGATTTTAGTCTAATGAATTTTTGCAGCCACAATGTCAAACTTGACAAAACTTGAATTTGCTGCCCTTGATATAACGGGCTCAAATTATTTGCCATGGATACTTGATGTTGAAATCCATTTGGCTGCAAATAATCTTGGTGAAACAATTGTTGAGGGAAATCAAACATCCTTACAAGATTGCGCTAAAGCGTTGATATTCCTTCGCCATCATCTCCATGAGGGATTGAAGGCTGAATATTTGACAATCAAAGATCCATTTGAATTATGGCAAAATTTGAAAGAAAGATATGATCACCAAAAATCAGTGATACTGCCAAAAGCTTGTTATGAATGGATGCATCTACGATTGCAAAATTTTAAATCTGTGAGTGAGTTTAACTCCGTAGTATTCCGCATTTCATCTCAATTAAAATTATGTGGTGAAAAAATTACTGATGAAGATATGTTGGAGAAAACATTCTCCACTTTTCATGCCTCGAATTTGCTTCTTCAGCAACAATATCGAGAGCGTGGCTTTAAAAAATATTCAGATTTAATATCATGTCTTCTTGTTGCTGAACAAAATAATGAACTTTTGATGAAAAATCATCAGTCACGGCCTATTGGTTTAGCACCATTACCTGAGGCAAATGCAACCTCATATAATAATTATGGGCGTGGTCGAGGCCGTCGTTATGGTCGTAATCGTGGCAATAACCATGGTCGAGGGTATGCCTGTGGTCGAAATAATACTTGGCATCATAGAGGTTTCAACCCCAAATATGAATCTGTTGAACCAAAGAATGTAAGGGGTAGAAATTTACAAAAGAACCCTGCGAAATTTTTTGAAAGTTTTTGTTATCGATGTGGAGCAAAAGGACATTGGGAGCGTGCTTGTCGCATTGCTAGGCATTTGGTTGATCTTTACCAAGCCTCACTTAATAAAAAGGGAAAAGGAAAAGATCCAGAAATGAATTTCATTGAACAAAATAATGTGGATCTTGATACACACCTTGATGTTGTTGATTTTTTCGAGGCTGTTGAAAAGCTTAATGGTGTTGGTGATACCCAACCAAGAGTTTGACTTATTATGTTCTCTTAAATAATTTGCCTTTTGTGGCTATTTCCCTTTTCCTATATGTAATGTTCTTTTTATATGCAATAAAAGAATAATCATTTTATAATATATATTGATTATTTGTCTCTTCTGTTTCATTTGTCTTTATTTAAGACTAAATGAACTTGGATGATGCTAAGATCAAAGATGGAGACCTATGTCTTGTTGACAGTGGCACAACACATACCATCTTGAGAAATAAGAATTATTTTTCTCAATTAAAGTTAGCTGAGGCCAATGTTCATACAATATTTGGTATGGTAAAGTTGATTGAAGGCTCTGGAAAAGCTTGCATTTTATTGCCTAGAGGAACAAAATTATTAATACATGATGCTCTATATTCTAGTAGATCAAATCGAAATCTACTAAGTTTTAAAGATATATGTCGTAATGGCTTCCATATTGAAACCATGGATGAGAATGGAATAGAATTCCTCCATGTCACAACTTTTGCATTTGGAAAAAAGAAAATATTGGAGAAAATGTTAACATTCTGTTCTGGATTGTATTATACATATATACATCCAATAGAATCCAATGCTGTGACTAATAAGAAAATAGTCAATCCAGATGCATTTATCCTTTGGCATAATCGACTTGGTCATCCAGGTGCTATTATGATGCGGAGAATTATAAAGAGTTCACTTGGACACCCATTGAAGAACTTGAGAGTCTTATTATCAAGTGATTTTTTGTGTGTTGCTTGCTCCCTTGGTAAATTGATTATCAAGCCTTCTACAACTAAAATAGAAAATGAATCTCCTCCATTGTTGGAACGAATTCAAGGAGATATTTGTGGACCTATAAATCCGCCATCTGGACCGTTTCGATATTTTATGGTGTTGATAGATGCTTCAACAAGATGGTCACATGTTTGCCTATTGTCTACACGCAATGTTGCGTTTGCAAGGTTACTTGCACAAATAATAAAGTTGAGAGCACAATTTCCTGATTATATAATAAAAGGGATCCGACTTGATAATGTGGGAGAATTTTCATCCCAATCATTTAATGATTATTGTATGTCAATTGGGATTACTATTGAGCATCCAGTTCCTCACATGCATACACAAAATGGTCTGGCTGAATCACTTATTAAGCGTCTGCAATTGATTGCAAGACCGCTACTTATGAGATCAAAGTTACCTGCTTTTGCTTGGGGCCATGCTATATTGCATGCTGCAGTGTTGATTCGATTAAGGCCAACTGCTTATTATAAGCATTCACCATTACAACTTGTTTCTGGGATTGAACCAAATATATCCCATTTAAAGATTTTTGGTTGTGTTGTATATGTTCCTATTGCTCCTACACAGCGCACTAAAATGGGTCCCCAAAGAAGGCTGGGAATTTATGTTGGTTTTGAATCACCATCTATAATTAAATATCTTGAACTAATGACTGGTGATCTCTTCACAACAAGATTTGCTGATTGTCATTTTGATGAAAATTTGTTCCCAGCATTAGGGGGAGAGGAACAAAAGTTGAAGAAACAGGAATTGACTTGGGATGCATTATCTATATCTCATTTAGACCCTCGAACAAGTCAAAATGAACTAGAAGTTCAGAAAATTATTCATTTGCAAAATATTGCAAATCAATTGCCTGATGCATTCACTGATGCAAAGAAGGTAACTAGTTCACACA